TAATGGACGCGCTCTCAAAAAAAAACAAACTGATAAGAGAAAATAGAAAATTATTCGTTGAAAGACGAAATTTCAATGAATGTCTTTGATTGTTTTTTGAAGCCGCTGGCTGTTTCGACATACCTTGTTTCGAGATGTAATAGAAGCAAAGCTTGGCAATATCGTCAACAATTCTGTATTATGACTTTTCTTTCATTGCTAACACATTTTTTGTTGCTGTGATCGTATGGGTGAAGTGCATTCATAAATCAACATGCTATCTTCATTCAGAATCCATCCTGTGAAACAAATATAAAACAACTTGCTGCACATTCATCGATAAAGATTGGACATTTTATATATTTTATTTTATTAAGAGTAGAGGCTTGGATTGACATTTGTTAGTGAAATATGCTGATATTTTTTCAAAATATTTCGTAACCTCAAAGCAGTTTTAGATTTTGAATTGGTTTTTTGAGTTTTAGAATTAACACTCAAAAAAAAATATTAGAATGAAGGTTTCGTTTCATAATGAGATTTCAAGTAGTTCACATTTACATGAACTCATTTTTTGTTTCATCGGAAAGAATTTCGAATATTCTTATTATAAGTTTTGCTTATAAAATGCCATCACTCGTTTGTGTTCTTATTCATATTCTATTTCATGAATCAACAGAGTTGATTTTCTAATTTAAATTATTGAATCATATCCCTAAATGAAGAATTTGTCACAATAAAGCGAGAAAGAATGAAAGTACTTTTTAGAGCAGACACTAAAACTGGTCGGTGGATAACATGTTGTGCAGTGACGTGGTGTATGTGTGAGTTGGATATGCTTGTATCTAAATTCTTGTCATATCCACCCACACCTTATATTCGATGTAACAAGAACGAACATCTTATTAATCGGCTAGATCTGGTTTTGGAAAATATGATTTTCAATAATGCATCTAAACGAGTCAGCAGTCGTAGTCCTTAGCATTTTAATTATACATGACAGGTGTAAGAACATTGAAAAGATCTTAGAAACCAAGGCACACAAAGTTTTCAATATATTCATGTAAAGTACTTTACATTCGAGTGGCCAGTAGGTGGGTGTGTATTCTTTCCACTTATTCATATATCCGTACCCATACTGTACACTCAAGATTCATATTTTCTGTGTGATAAAATTTAGGTCGCAATCACGCGTTTTACAAGGAGAATAAAAAAAACGAATTCAAATTAGGACAATGTGCACAGCTGGATAAATTCCACAACACTCATGACTTGGTATTGTTTATCTTGTATTTTATGCATCATTCGTAATGTCGATCATGCGTTCCAATCCTGACGGTAAGTTTTCAACGATTAGAATTATGTGCATGTACTGTGTATTGTCGGAATATTTCATTTCCATCTCTAAAGACATGTTTGGTAGAGGACTGGATGTGAGTGTGGTTGTTTTTTTCAGGCGCCCACCCAGCCATCCTAATCTTGACAGAAAAGTAATAGGTGACTGTTTGATATCGGCAACGAATGGGTGAAAATCGAGTACGCCTCGTCTTGACGACGGAGAAACAATGGTTTGAGTCCCAATTGAATTGTTTTGTCTCGTAGTTATCAAGCCATACACATGTATGTGTCATAGTTTTTCAAAGATAAACCTGTCGGTTGCCTTTTCATATTCAAGTTGTCACACAGTTGCATAGATAACAGAAATGATGGGTGCCAGCGAAAGTATTACTCTCCAAATGAACTTCGATCGATCAAGTTATTTTTATTTTACGGGCGAACAAGCTTTAGGCAGCATTTCGTGTCAAAATGACCGTGATAGACTGATATTAGAAGAAATATTTGTGGAACTTGTGGATGAACTTGCTTATAGAACACAAGAAACTCGTTCTTTCACTGATTCTAATGAGAATTCGACCACGCAATACTACACTGATTATCATCACACACTATTCCTGATCATTCGTATACCTCTTGCTCGGTCCAGTGATATCGAAGTAAGAATTTATTGATGGCATTGTTGAGGCATATTTATTTTTTTAATTGCTGTAACATAAAATGGTTTTTAGCTGTGGGACATACACATGACCATTTGAATTTAATCTTCCCGAAAACTTACCCCATCATCAGGTCCCAACTCTGAGACTTCCCCTCATATCAAATATTACACTCGAATCGTTCTTGATCGACCATGGTATAAAAAGAACGTTGCACAAACTTACCCTCTGACGATTTCTACTCGTATGAGTCTTTTTCATATAAATGGTACCCAACAAATGGTTTCCTTTGCTGATCAGAATCGTAAATAACTTCGTCTGCAAGGTTGTCTACTTCGTAGGGGTATTGTGCCAGGCCAATCGCTCTCTTTTCAAATAATTCTTCACAATCCTGAACGAACTAAAATCAAAAGAATCGAAGCAACATTCATTCGACATCGAGAAATTGATCTCGATAGTCATCATGAAATTATCTTTTCTGTCGATCTACCCAATTTGAGCGAATTCAATGAATTATATTTACAACGTACTTTCGATCTACTTGTGCCTTCTATTTATCTAACACGTACATTTACATTCACGATATTACCGTTCATTATGAACTTCGACTAAAAGTAAAACCCCATGGAATTTTTCACTAAATTTTAAGTCAGCATTCCAGTCGTTGTTGATACAAATGAAATATCGAAAGAGCAACAGCAACAAAATTATAATTTCACAATGCCCATAAATACCAGTCCTGTTTTCGACGAAACTGATCCGCCACCAAGCTATGAAACAGTAGTAAAAAATAACTAACAGGGACAAATTCAAGTTGATTGTTTGCTTCACGATTTTTCAAAGAGAAATGTGAATAAATTCTATGATCCTAAAAATATTCTTGATAATACCTTCGAAGTCATGGAGTGTACTTTTTAATGTTTGACACATTCATCTGTAGGCATCGAGATATAATAAAGTTTCAATTAAGTAGAATGTACGAGTATTTATAGAACTTTTCAAAGACTTGGATATCTAGAATTCAAAGTTCTAGCATTTATTCAATGAGAAGATCACTTCTAGATTAAAAGCTGGCTCCGAATTGCTTTGCCTACATATTCATACTGAAGTCGTTAGTTGTGCGCTATGCGTTAAGGTACAAAATAAAAATAAAACAAAAGCAAACAATGATTGATTCTATGAACGTAAATGTAGACATTATCGATGTTCATCTTTTGTTTTTGCTAAGAAAAAAATGATTAAACTATAACATGAGAAAAAAGAAAATTTTCCACAGTATATTTTGAACATATCAAAATAGCCATATCAGAAAAAAAAACTATTTTTCTCATAAGAACATTTCAAAACGAGACAGCTTAAGGCTCAAGCATCTAAATGACAAAGTTGAGTACGATCAACAAACTCATTGTAAGCTAATAATTAAATAAATGTACTTGTTATAGGTTTTGAAAGAAGACATTACTTAATAATTTATCATAATTAATGAATAGAAGATTATGAATATTTTTGAAATCGTTACATCCTATTTTTCAAATGTTATTTTGATGGCAATATTTATTTGAGTGGTTCTGAATGTTAAATGTTTTCTATGAAGATCTTATTGAACTATCAAAAAGTTTTGGTACATATTTTCATATATCGGCTTGTCCAAGCGTAACGCGATGATGTTTTATCCACTGTGTCTTCAAATTTCCTCAGCAACAAAATCACTTAGAAATTTGATTTTTTCGTCAGAAGGTGTGTCTCCTTATGTACTGTTGGAATTCGGTAAACTTGAGTTTATTGAGCAAAGCATTCTGAAAAATCGTAGCAAAAATATACAGCGTAACGCGATGATGGACAAGGGACAAAAATTGGAGGGTGTTGTACTCGTTCTTTGTTTTTCTCCAAATGTATATTATCTTGAATAAAATATTTCACAATAGATTTGTAGTAAACACTTTGGAGTACTAATGTGAAAAAAGTTTTTTCGAAAAGGTCTCTCATTAATTGTGAAACTTTGGTCACATTAACGTTACGCGATGACGAAAATTGGAAAAATAAAACCCTTTTTCTGCTATTAGCGTATCCACAATGGTGAGTAAAGGCGAGTTAAATCTCATGTTCTGAAAACCTCAAATAGCTTTTACACATTTTCTCTCTTATTACATCGGATAATACTGGTGATATTTAAACCTGATTTTTCAAACTACCGGCATTGAAGGTGACGCGTTACGTGGACAAGCCGATATATAGGATAAATGGGAAAATTATTCATAGTAGTGAAGTCATGAATTGAAACAGAAGTGCAACGTTCAGAATATAAAGTTAACAAAATTACTATAAATTTGTTTTAATTAAAACATATTCTAGCGATGTAAACGTTTCATTTGCAGAAACTATTAAAGCACAATTTCAAGTCGTGTAAAGTGATTGAAAATTGTTGATCGATGAAAATTGTGTAATTTTTCAGATATTCTACATGATTTGCGTAGTCACATCAGTGTATTAGTTTGTTTTGGAATCAGTAAGGAATGCTACGTAGATATTTCAACGGTGAATTATTTCTAGAATAATTATCTTCAACGTCAAAATTGTTTACTATGATAATTAATTCATCAATAAACGAGAGTAGTACAGTGTACACGATATATGATTCTAATTAGTTGACTTCGATTACGCAGTCAATCAGATTTTCTGAGAATCCATCGAATCCAATCGGTATTCAACGATTTCAAATGATTAATTTTCATAGGAATATTAAAAAACGAAATTCGATTAAGTTCTTGTAAGAGTCTATTCAGTTTTGCTAAATTGTTCAACTTTCTAAACTTTTCCTATTTTTTTTGAGAGTTCAATGAATCGAGTTTGAGCATTTGACATAGAGTATTCCACTTCGACTTTTTGAAATGTTCCATTCTTCTTCTATTTTTCTTCTGTTAATTTTAAATTGTAAAATATCTTCAAAACTCTAAGCTAATTCCTGATAATAATGGTTACGTTAATTATAGAAAAGGAGTAAAAAAGATTGTAATGATTAGTATATCTAATCTAGAAAATGCAAGAAAAAAGAAAGAGAATAGAAACAAGCATATATGGTAAAGCAGAAGCTGTAGCAGTGACATTGTTAGAATCCGCGACTAAAGCAATCGAACTATTTGCTGGTCTCTTTGGAAATGCGTTTTTCAAATTGGACCAGATGGATACGTTGCTAAATGTACAAGATCCACCGTGTCCACCTACAGTATATCCAAATCCAATGGAATCTAATAGTGCAGGATAGATATGTGTAGTTATAGCTGTGCGGTTGTTTGCATAAATCTCCAGAAGAGAATTGTCCAAGAATATATGCAAAGACAAAAGTTCTTTTTGTGTAGTATTTACACTAACTACAGTAGTGAGTAAAGTATGTTTGGCGTACACTGTACTATGATCAAACTCTTTAATCAAAGAAGAATATGTTCGATTTAAAATCAAATATTCGGAAACTGGATCATAAATAAGAGTGGTATATTCTAATCCGTTTGCTGATCTTCGAAAAACAAAACCACCTGTAGCATTGAATGAAATATTAATGGTTGCCTTCATTTCAAAATTATAAGACGAAAAATTAAAACTTGAAAATTCTGTCGTTTGATTAAATGTTTGAGGCATTAAGCTAACGAAAGTGCTATTTTGTCGAAGTTTAATGACTTCATTAATTGGTCTAACACCAAGAGTTTTCCATGTATACGTTCCATTAACGTTCGGTATCAAAGTCCAAGGTCCTGGTTGAGAAAAACATTCATGAATGTTAACGACATTCTTGTAAACTTGAACAAAAACTTCTCTTGGAAGAGTAATTTGACCATTGTAGCCAAATGCTCTCTGTCCATAGTTCTTATGCGCTTCTTTCACCCATCCGTAAAAGATCCGTCGGTCCTCTTTTGGATCGTAGAATGAATTGAGTGCATAAGTATCACCCCAATCGGCAACACCCGACGCAATAATATTCATAATAGCACTAAAATTACTTGTCTTAATAAGATTTCCTTTAATCCATACAGACCATTGAGGAGATAGATGTAAAGTTGTATTACCTCCTTCAGTTCCGAGTGAGGCAAAAATATGAACGGTCTGATTATCTCCACCATCAGCAGCCTTTTCAAGAAGAGAGAAAACATTAGAGACCTCGAAATTATAACCAAGAGAACCTGACCAATTCTGATTGAGTGTATAATTACCAGGAACAGAAACAAGAGGACCCAAATATGTCCAGTTAGTCAAATCGATAGCAGATGCTTGATAAAGTAAAAGTCGCGGACCAACATCATGAATGCCTGATGAAATAGTCATGTAATAGTGTCCTTGATCAGATCCATATAATACAATGTCCATTTCTGGCCATTGTTCAAATTTAGGATCTCTCCATCCAGTTATATCCATACCTTCAGGTGGTGAAGCAAGAATGGGATTATTGACGTGTTGTTGAAAAGTTACACCACCATCGTATGATACTGCCAATGACTGAGTTTCACTTCCCTTGATGTATGGACCACTCCAACTTATTGGTAAGTATTTCACACTTGTATAAATAGCTGTAATTGTACGATTTGTTATGTTATTGGTAACTGGGATAGGCAAAGTTGAACCAGTAAAAACACCAAGTACACTGTGATTATTACCAACACCTGGTACCAATGTAATGTAATCATAACCTTGCCATGACGTCACATCTTCCCAAAAGATCATATCTTTTGATATGGCATGACCCCAAGAAATATTTCCCCATTGTACATACGCAGGTTGAACTTGATAATATAAATGGTAATTTTGTGTTGCTGGATCATAAAGGGGTCCACATGGATCATTCATCCATGAGTTAGGAGATGCAAAATGATAAGTTGGCCTCCATGTTGTAAATAATGAATTATCTGGTAAGTTTGTAAGATTTATCTTCGATAGATCTTCGATCTGTTTGAGTGTGTTCAATTGTACTGTACTTGAAATATTCTGATATAGAAAGGTGATAATGATAATGAGAAGTGAGAAATACATCTTCATGCCGAATAAACTGATGTATGAATTAGACACCCACAAAATTTCGTTTTTTTTGTCTCTATTCTATGGTTACTTGCTCTTTTTGTTTCTTTGATTATGACTATTTATCTTGGTATTTTTATTTGAGTCTTTTTCTTTCCTTTGTAGACATACAATTGATGTAAGTATGTAAGACAACGCATGCACAATGAAGTCAACGAATAGGAAACTCGTATGTGACCTTTTACGATCATATACGCTGCAGTTATTTACGCATCTAACAGAAAAAAAATTCGTTGAAATTGCTGCATTCTGACTATTTCATGTTGCTTAGTTTCTTTGTCATATTGAAAATAATCTGTAGCACACATTGTTTCTCATAACATATTCATTAACAAAAAATTTTCAATTTTTTACTTTCAACAACAGAGACGCTCACATTTTTGAAAACTGTAAGGTTAGTGTCAATCAGACTTCAAATTAAAACTATCTTTTAATAAAAAAAGAAAAGTTTGAAAATTGATTTCAAAAGCAACGAAAACTAAATATATCATATGAATGGCTTTATTGAAACATAATAAAACTTATATCGTCATTGCAATGAAGATTTAGGTTTAAAAACAAAACTTAATTTACAATTTTTGTTTTCAGTACTCTTTCTAAGTATAGGATAACTGTCTGCAAACTTTCAATCGTTTTCAAATTGTTATAATGATGATAAGAAGAGCTAAACGAAGGTTCATTAGAAACAAAACCAGAAAATGAAGAAGAATCATAGTTGAATTGAAGAGTCTATTATTTTCTAAATTATAAGTAATAACAAATTAGATTTTTTTGCAAAGTTAAAGCAAACTATCGATCATAATAGATTGAATCAATTCAAGAAATTTATCAACCTTGATTAAGTACAATAGGAAAACGAACTTGTACATCATTATTATTTCGTATTTGCTAGATTAATTCAGAGCATATTCATAACTAAATCGTAAACTCTTTCTGGCAAAGGAGATGTTAAACATATTAGGCGAAAGTCTAGTCAAAATATTTCTGGTTAAAAATCCATGAGAAAATATCTTCGTTTCGGCAATTAAAGCGGAGTGTGGGTTCAGAGAAGACCTAAATTGTAATCTATATGTATATTCCATAATCACACATTTTTCTTCAGAAATTGTTGCAGATATTCCTGAGCGCAATCAGTCTTCAACAATATTAGCACCGAAGAATCTTTCGAACGTGGGCCTAAAGCAATATTCATTTGGTGACTTTTTTCAAAATTTGACTGTTAGTTTTCGTTCGAATATGGTTATGAGTAAAACTATGGAAGTTCTAATTTGAGTAAGTAAGAACATTTTATCTGAAATATATTGAATAAAGCTTTGATGAAGATAATATCGAACTGAAAGAAAAATATGTAAATCATTAGAACTTCTGAAGAACTATGGAGGGTATGGGTGCAAAACAAACCCTAGTACTTCTTTTCGAATGCAGGAGACTTTAAAATATGATTAGTCGATGAGAAGCACAAAAAATTATTCGTTGGAAGAAATTCATATCTTTTTTTTTTTCTTTGACAAAATAAGTTCGATGATTCATTCATCAATGTCAACGTAGAGAGATGTTGTTTTATATGAAACTCTTTATGGTATCCTAATCTGCGCCATTTATATCAAACACGAGGAAGACCATTTTTACTGCAGATTTTATTACCTGCAGCTGAGATGAGCAAATTTTAAATATAATATCTTAGCGCTCTTTCTTATCTTTTGCATCTATGTCGACAACAAATACACATTTTCTCATTCCTTTCCATTTAAAAATACCAACAATGACGCCGGAAAAAAAACAATCAGTGTATGGTCGATTTCTTCTTCTTCCTACACGTTTTTAACTTGTTTATGCGTTTCACAAAGAATATCGTCATTTCTTCCAAACAGAATCCTATTACAGCATACCTCCATAGAAAAAGAACACATGTGAAAGTCAAAAGATAAAATGAATTGAAAAACAATCTACGAGATTTTGTATATCATACATTTTAACTTTTTCTAGATCTCCAACAGATATATAATTAACAGTGTTTCCATTCTGTATCTTATTTAACTAACTTTTGTTTACAATGTATTGATCTTCAATTAATCTTGTAAGAATTTACATCATTTCCTTATTTTCATACTTCTAGAGAAAACGTGTGCATTTTCGCAATGGCTACAAAGGAGAACCCTTTACCTACATGCAATCCAAGCTGCAGTCCAATCGCGGCAATCAGATCATATTCTTTCACACCACGCCGAGCCGTTGATCCGAATGGACGCCTCGGTTGGCTCTATGATGCTTATACCGATCAAGTACTTTCCAACTCATCTATAAATTTCGATAAACGATGGGCGCAGGGTGTTCTGCCACCAAAATGCTTTGTGGCACGATACAATCCAGACGAATGAGGAGATCTACAAAGTATGTTCGAGACATCAGCTCTTGAGAGAATGTTGAGCGCTAGAAAAACAGAAGCATACACAATTTTAATAAAGACATTAGCCAGATAAGCAGAAGTTGTCAATAGATATTTGAAATATTCATCATGCAAACAGTATTCAACTCGAAAGAATACAAAACCAAGCTATATATCATGAGATGTCCATTGTGTATAGCTATAACCTGACAATCTCTTAAAATGGTGTAATATGCATCATGGACTACGATTGAGTGTTGCTTTACAAATGACTTCAACAAATGGGATCAGTACATTATTTAATTATTCTCGGGCGACTGATAAATATACTCGATTTATTGTTTACTGCTACTATAGCCAGACAGAGTATTTAGCAGACGAAATATTCAAGTCATGGGATAAAATCAACTCACCAAGACCAGATAATTCTGCTACTCATGTGATTGTGTTTGTTAATTGGGGAATCGATGCAGTCGTTGTTTTACAATTGCCACCTAATGATGAACACATGGATGCAATCGATTATGTCCTTCAAAAAATATGTATTTCTTTGGAGCTTGATCACTATAATATGAAGCTCTCCGAGGAAGATGAAGGATTCCTCAACAAAATTCTCCGCACAGAAGTCTTTTCCAATATCCCTCAACTCAATGGAATCGATTCGATACTTGAGTTTGGCCGCCGTATTTCGTCTGTGAAGTGTGATACCAACCTTCACAAACCATACAATTATAATCTTTATCCAATTGACTATTTTTATGCTAAGAATGATTTAAAGCCAGTTGTATACGTTGAGTTGCGACAAAATAATGTCTTTATAATCGAATCTTATTTCGTTCAATTATCGATGGACTTTAAAAGAATAAACAAACCACTAAATCGAAATTATCCAAATCTACAACAACATCTCAGCGTCGAATTTAATAAGATGCGAACAAGCTGGGATGAATTGCAAGCGATGTACACAAATCAAATTCTTCGTATTCAAGATTTAGTAATGCGTGCCCGTCGCGGTGAAATTGATCAGAATGATATTCCTGATATATTAATGGATGATCAAGATAGGAAATTGACAGAGATGATAAACCATTTCATTGAAGATTTGAATTCATGGAACCAAAAGGAGCAGCTCATCACAGACTTGTTTGAAAAAGGGTTTAATTATCAAAATGCATTCGATCGAAATATACAAAATGGCGACGATCAGCTAACCCTTGAATATAAGCTTTTATCGGATGCTAACCATACACGTATCATCTGTTCTGACGACTGTTTATTCAAAAACAAGCAGTCACAATGGTATAAACTTCGCGATCAGTTACTAGAGGACCGTAAAGAAAATTCTCCATTACAATTAACCTACGTTGATTTTTCCTATTGTTCATACAGACTGAATGATATTATCGTTTTATCTACGACTGCTAAGCAGAATAATGCAATTACATCACAAACAATGCCAATATTACCACCAATACAATCAAAAAGCGATGAAATTATCAATATTTTACTTCTTGGCGAATCAGGTGTTGGTAAATCGACTTTTATCAATGCTTTAGTTAACTATTTGAAATTCAAAACACTCAAGGAAGCTGAGAATAATCCTATTGTACTTATACCTGTTTCATTTATGATAATGACGGGTGATAATTTTGAAGAACATTTGGTCAAATTTGAAGGAAGCGATTTGTTCAGCAATGAAGATCATAATCATCTTGGTCAATCAGTAACTCAACATTGTAAATCGTATGTGTTCACTCTAACCGATGGCGAAAGCCGTGGTCGTAAATTACGAATTGTTGACACTCCTGGTATTGGGGATACACGTGGCTCTTCTCAAGATGATGCCAATCTCCAACATATTTTATCATATATTAATAATTTGACACACTTGAATGCTGTATGTATCTTATTGAAGCCAAACAATGTAAGACTTAACGCTTTCTTTCGTTCATGTTTTATGCAATTGATCGATATGTTAAGTGAAAATGTTTGCGACAAGATCATATTCTGTTTCACGAATACACGCCCAACATTTTATACACCAGGAGATACAGCTCCGGCACTCAAAGCTTTACTTCGATCACTTCCAATCAAAAAGATTTCTTTTACAAAAGATAATACATTTTGTTTCGATAGTGAATCATTTCGTTATTTAGTGGCAAAGCTTAATAGCATTGTTTTTAATGGTATTGAAGAACAAGAATACAATGACAGTTGGAAGAAATCATCTAATGAATGTGGCCGCCTTATCGAATATATTTGCACTAAAATGTCTATAGGTATTAATTCTAGTGAATCGTATTCGATGAAACAAGCACAACTCAAAATAAATTTAATGGTTCGACCTATGTTAGAATCAATGAGAAATATTCTTCGCAATCTTATCTTGAGGAATGTATCAGAAGCGCATAAAACTTGTATAAAATTGCATCCAAACATTATCAAATATCCAACAGCTATCTGTTTAAGATGTCCCCGTAAGTCTTTTCAAATAGACGAATTTTGGTTTACAATGGATAGTTTACATGTCTTCGTTAATAATAAATGTCTAACTTGTCAATGTGATCCATCAGATCACTATCCAATTGATTATGAACTTGTATATAAACGATTCGATGATTTATCAAGTAAATCTGAGAACGATATGACGAAGATACTTGATAATTTGTGTAATTTGTGTGTTAAATTCGCTCTATTCCTGTTGGAGCTGGACTACACTTTACAAAATGATCCATTTTTGGTTGGTTTCGAGCGAATGATTAGAGAAGAAAATGATATCTGTTCTGAGAAGAGTTCATACAAGCTCAATCTACAACTGATGCAGGAACTTCATCAGCTCAAAAATAGATACGAAACCACAAGGAAGGAAATGGCTCACAAAAAAGAATCCATTGATCTTGATGATATTTATAAGAAAATTGAAAGTGTGAGCAAATATCCAATGATAGAATCACAAATGGCTGCCATTCGAGAATGGCACAAACATATGACTAAATATTACGAATATGAGGTTTCAACTTGAAGAATACCGTCAATTGTGATAAAAATTTCAGAAAAAAAAACATGCCTGTTGTTTTGTAATTAAAATAAGGTAGCTTTTTTCTTAAAAATACTTCAGTAGAAGTATTAGATACAAGTTGACAAGAGTTAATGTTTGGAACATTATCATTTGTAGCTTGTAAGAGTCTTTATAAAACGTACAGAGAAATAAAAACTTCTTTTTTAATCTTGCATTTATATAAATATATATTTTCTTTTTGTTCTACAACTGATTAAGCTATTCAGTATGTTGTCCTTACTAAAAATTGAATTCAACTTATGTATATATATATAAAGAAGTATTTTAGCAACCATATATGAAAAATTTCATATAAAAAATATGAACTTCGCTGTTAAAATTCTAATAAAGCAATAACTTCGTCGAAGTACCAGCATATAACGTATGTAAAAAGCTTATGCAATTAGAGAATCTATTGCAAAAATGTTTGTTAGAGGTTCAATTGCAAAATTAAAAAGCGAGGAGCAAATACTAGTGTTCGAAGTGTTTTGTTTCATTTCACTTTGTACCATTGACTGACGTTTACATATGATTAGGGATGTACTGAGACCAAACTTCTCGTCCAAGGATGACTGGGAGCGAGAGTCTCGAGCGACACTCAGCTTCGGTTAGTCTTGTAGGTTTTTTTCCATAGAAAAATATTCATTTTTTGTCAAAAACAAGAGATCAGAAGAAATCCATCGATATAATGATGCCTACCCTAAAAACTCCTTATGAGAACACAATTATTGTGTGACGCCTATAAGTAATGAACCTCTCAGTGATTTGACTTTATTCTTTTTTTTTCTTCATCAATTCATCGACTTGATTATTTTATCATTTATTGAGTGCGATGATATAAGTAAAAGAGTCTAAACAGCTTTTCACTCAGTATTGATGAAAAAGATACTAATTCAATCTTAGAGAGTTTCGCCGATTTAAATTTAATTATTTGAGAAATTTGAAAATTTCCATTTGATTTAATCTATAGTTCTAAAACTGGTAGAAAATGTCTGGCAACGGAGACAAAAAAGTACTTTTTGAAGGTAGCATTGTTTTATATTAGTGATAATCAACTTCAGTATCATGTCCATCAACGAAATTTCATCTGATACTTTCCTTCTAGAATTCAGTTGGCAAAATATTTGAAAATGCAGCAGAGTGTAAATAATTTCAACAGGATGCTACAGTATGTAACAGTTTTCAGCATCAAATCGATTTTGACGAACTCTTAACTATGTAAGAAAAAAAGAATATTTAAATGTATTCAACAGTATGTTCGCTTGTTTCATTATCTCTCGAATCGTTTGAAATTCGTTCACGTTCTAGTGCAGTACAGTTTAGATAGTATGTGTGTTTCTAGGCTCTGAATAAACTTTTTCTCTTAATTTATTCTCTTATCACTCTTTATAAATAAAGCTTAGAAACTTTTCATTTAGATCTTGGCGATTTATCTTTTGATAAAATGATCATGCCGAGGAACTAAGACGAGAACAACTATAATCAAACTACTGAGAGTCTCATAATTTATGAATACTAATCGAAGTGATTTTTCTCTTCCGTCATTGAAGAATTAGAATCGCTAACATCAAACAATTTGAAATTCATAAGATATCAAGATTATTCCCAAATATGAACTGGAATGGAACAGTGAAAATTAGCGAAGTCTATTCATTGATATATATATATGTGCTAAATCTTTGCTCATTTGACAAAAATACAATTTTTCATCTATTAGTTCAAGTTCTGTTCATAATTTGGAAAATTTTTTGACTACAACTCAAAAACAAAAACAAATATAGAGATAACTAGTATTTCATAATAGAGGAAGGAGAGTCTAGACATCATAAGTATTTGCAAGAACCAAAAAAAATTTAGAAAAACCTATTGTGAATATTTCACAACATGTCACAGAAGCATGGGTGTGAGGTGTGGGTATGGATGTATGAGACAACCAAATCGGCATCTTCACTCACAACCACACCCTCACTTGACATTATCCACTTGGCTTTAATATTTCCTGTAACCTTTCAATCTATTTCATTGTACTCTCAGATTTTTTTAAGTGAACTTCGTTGCATGATGACTATGTGCAAGTTCATTTGACCTGCATTGTGACTATTATTGTGAAAATTTCTCATTTGTCTCTTTGAAGCAAATACTTTGCGTTAGCTGTATCAAACTTGATATGATAGACAGAATTACCAATTACTTGATTAAAATTGTTAGAGATATAGTCTCGTTTGGCTGCACCGAAATATTCAAGTCGTTGTTATATGATCTCCTAAGTATTGACTTCCTGCTCATCAACATCCTCTCTATATGCTCTTTGCGAGTAGCTCGAAAGTGATGCTCTGATAATCAATATGAGAAGCGCTTCTGTGGAAAAATGATTGGAAATGAATATTGAGGTATTTGCTGAGAAATAGAAATGACCATACTTTTCTGCTGTAAGGAGGATGAAAGTTTAAGTGTGAATCTTTTGCCATTGTTCGAGGTTCTTCAAAATTATTATTAATATCTATATGCAATGATATTCGTTCGAATTACTAGCATAGATTCATACAATTCTTGATAATACTAACAAGAATTCGCGCTAATTTACTAGGGGAATCAAAAAGTTCTGAGAATTTCAAAAAGGACCATGTCGGGTTTGGTTATCTATCCAAAATTATAAAACCAAACATACCATGTTGTAGCGCAAGTCGAGGTGCGTCGAATGATATATCACAAATCTTGTTTTCATAAGATTTTTCGGGAACCAAACTGGATTTATCGGTAGACGCTCATGGATTCAAAGATTCACCGACCGCCACTACCCGTCGAAAACGATGGTGGATCATCGAAAAGTAACATTTTTTCCTATCAAAGATAGGACGATGGGAGATGCTGAGTACATGAGCTTGTAGCCTGTGAAAAGCGCTATAAAACTGTATATAGGAAGATTATTTTTACAAACATTTTTGTCTAATACCAAGGCCCACAATGGTCAGTGCTTTCATTCGGTGGTCGCCTACCAGTAAATCGAGTCTGGTTCCCTTAAAATCTTATGAAAACAAGATTTGTTATATACCATTCGACGCATCTCGACTTGCTCTACAACATGGCATGTTTTGTTTTCTTTTAATTCTGAATAGTTCACCAAATCCGACACGCTCTTCTTTAAAATTCTCAGAAGTTTTTGATCCTCCTATGTAGATTCACGCACTACAAGCCAGAAAAGACGATTGTTCCACTACATCTTTCAATTATCGATAGAGGTTTGTAAATATTGATAAGAGAGATTTCAATATGGGATGTTGCTTAAATTTCTTTTGAAGATATCTTAGATATCTGTGGGTGGATGTGGCTGTAGATTTAGATATGACAACAAAATCCATACTTACACCCACATTCAGACCTACATTCAGATCACATCCACACCCGATATTGCTCGATCGATTGTTTTATAGGTACCAACATATGTGATTCAAATTCTTCTATGGAAATAAAAGTAAGATGTAACTAGCCATTGAATTAGTTGTGCAAAAATAAGCAACTATTAAGTTTTGAATAGTCTCATTACTAATTAGTTTAATAGGCTTTGAATGCAAATACAATGTCTCAATAACCGATCAGAAACCATTAATTAGCAACTGATTACTGTTCAGTCAACTGTGAGGTTAAACGCATTTTTTTTGCTTGAGTTGTTTTTTGTAACTTGCTGAATGAATGAATATTTCAAAGCTCTTAGAATATTGTTAGATTTCAGTCCAGTTCGTTCTTTCTTGTCATGGTGAGTGCACTCAAGACATTTATATCAGGCATATCGACTGTTTTTGCTTAGTTTTCGAGTTTGGTTAGTTCATACAGATGACACCGCTAAAACAGCCATTATTTAAGAGGTTTAAATATTAGAAAAAACTGTGACGCATTCAAATCGTTCTTTTTGGGTAGCTAACAGCCCTTGGAACGCAGCAACTTTGCACGTAATAGATTAATTTTTAAAAAAGTTTGATAACAAAGGACTAAACCGCTCGAATAGTCGACTTTTGTATTAACCACCGTTAACTGTTGGCTTTAATGCAAAGTTGACGATATAGGAATACCCCCATGATTTATAATGAAAACTGATCATTATTTTTTTTTAATAGATTTTCTTCTGAACGAAATAATGATGCGACCAGTGTCATCCAACCCTTCAAAAGAGATACTACAGTAACAAAAAAGAAAAAAGACGATGATATCATAAGATAAAACTCATTGGCTTGAAATAAACAATGAATGTTTGAAATCGATTAAATAATCTACATACTATAATCTTACCAAAAAAAAAATAAATTAATTATTTGTAAAGAGTAGATTTGTCATCTTATTAGCAAGAGAACATATTATAGATAACTGAATTAATTTTCAAATAGGATAGATTTATGTAAAAATTCATTGTGTATACAAAATTATAATTGATACTGCTTTTTTTTGTGAATCTTAATTACTAGTTTTTGTTGTCAGCTAGCCGTTACGTATCATCTCTTTAAGACAAGATGCTGTTTTAAACCAAACGGACAATTTATATAGCATATACGAAAGAAGTAAATTATGTGGCTATAGTTTTTTTCAATATAAAATAGATAAAAGAAAAAACAAATGTAAATTTTATTAATTGCGTCATTCAATCTTTGTTTGAAACCAAGGTCATGCCGATATTCAATGGAAAACATTGCCAAATTTGATGTCTACAAGAGAAAAACATCGAGATTCTATAGAAATTAATAATTTTCAACTTTTAGTAGATCATACGAGAATTTTTCAAGATTATTAACTATTATAATGAACTACTCTTAAAACTTACACAAACATGTAACTCTTGAATCCTACTTATTAATAACAAGAAACATTTTTCTTAAGCCCATTAAAAATCATGAACAATATCACCTATCAATACAACAGCTATAATATTTTTATCTTAAAGACAGTATGTATCAATTCAACAATGGTGAACTCAATCTTTATTTTCTCAAAATCTTTAATAAAAAGAAAACAAACTAATTAATCGACTTGCTAGTTAATCGTAACGAATTTCACTAGACTATTTCAACATCATTCTGCTCTACGATGAAAATGATCGTTGTAAAATTAAATATATTATTAAGATTTTGCAAATTTTCTCCTTTCTCGTTCTAATCAGCAACCGTTTTTCAAATTTCTCTATTTGATTGACATCATTTACATACACGAATATTATTCATAATCGATAGGAGAGATTTATTAATCAGATCACAATAACTAACTATATAGATTTTCTTGCAATTCAGTTATATTTGTGTGGTTAAAATGAATCATTATATGGAAAACTCGTGCACGGGCACGTGCAGATCAAGTTTATTGGACTAACAAAGTATCTTTAAGTTCTCAAATACGATATAATACAGAGATCTGCTTTGAAAGACAAAAGGAAAAAGTTTTAATGTCTTGATAGAATTTCTAGTTCACTTAAAAAGTGCATATCATGACAAGTTATCGAAGTAAATCAATCAACAATTGTCCTTGAAATTAAATACATTACAGTATTTCTTTCAAAACAGTTCTCCAGTACTTATCGAAAGTCTACATTTGGGCTAAAAATGTTTGTTTTAACTAACGGAAGATAAACAATTAAAATCTTGTTAATTTTTCTGACCCTAACCCTTTCATCATCAATACTCTCTCTCTCTCTCTCTCTTTAGATCAAAGCATAATGTTAGTTCACAAATATATCTCTCATTTCTTGTCTATTTGTTAATTTCAATCAAAAAAAACCGGAACTTGCATTTTGTTTTTAATAAATATAATTCTTTTACTATCACGAATACGAATGCATCAGAGATGTTCATAGGATGATATTTTTCACCCTGTCTTGCCATGCTGAGTTTACATACTATCTTGATTATAAGTTTCAAGTTAGTTAGAAACAAAAAAAATGTTTCCTTTGTGTAATCATAGACTATTATTTTATTCAAGGGTATGTTCTCTCTTTTTTACGATTTCTCGAGGAGAGTTCATCAAAAAATTTTGAAGTTTTCAGGGCAAATAGATCTTCATGAGTAGAGTGAAAGTTGTCACAGGCTTCAAATTCTCGAATGCTGTCTTCTATCAGATAGAAGGCTCACAATGGTGAACGATGACCCCTAGTTTTCGCCTCCATTTCTCCTAGACGATATGTCTGGTTGAGCTAAAAACTTTTTTACAGATATTAGACACTGTTTGTAGTGAATGTTTTTTGACTTCTTTTTATCTTTTGTGGTTTCCATAAAAAAGTCAAAATACCAAGCCTACTCTAAGAAGCACTTTGTTTTATTACTAGGGCAAATTTTGTGAAAACTGTCAAAAAGACAGCAGAGCAATATTTCTTGAAAAGAAAAAAGATGTTCACTCCAAAAAATGAATAGAATATGTGAAAAAAAGGTTTAGCTCGATCCCTCCTAAAATATCGAAGAAATGGGGCAAAACAACACTTTTTCTGTTAAAATTTTGATTTTGAGAAAAAATGAGAAAAATATATTTAGTAGGTAGATACTATTTGAAGCTCTACAATGACCACAAAAAAATCTAAAAATGACAAAACCAAAAATTTTGGTCGACGAAAGGGGGTAACCTTAAGCCCATTTTAAAATAATAGAAACTCAGTTTCATCGATAAAATACATGAGTATCAATTTGAAATCTTAATTTTAAATTAATGCAAATGATCATAGATCTGTACAAATCCATGTCGCAAAAGATTTTTTAATTGATTGTTATCTCTGAACGTTAATTTAACTTTTCATTGCAAGCCAATTTGATTTAATGTGTATTGAACTAATTTTGCCACTCTTGTTAGAATGAATATTAGAAACTCTGAGTTTCTGTTTTGCAGGATATAAAGAATTTACCCTGTCTCGTGTGCGACTCTGGCTACTAAAAGTGAACCAATGTTGCAAAAGAAGTTCGTGAAAAGTGTCCGATGGAGAACAAAATTCATTCAAGTATTAACATAATAGCTGATTTAGGTGTTAAAGTTCACTGATAAAGACACCATTCCATATGAAAGAAGCAAGGTAACTGCTTGTTATAAAGCATTGATGTGAATATATTTCTCAAACTAACTGAAACCAACGGGTTTTTGTTTTTGAATAACTCACATAATTTACCGAAAATAACGTTCATAATTGACATCACGACATGCTCAAGCGTTACTGAACTTCGTTCTTTTTGCATGTTAACACCTACTTCTCGTCAATATGAGAAGGAAATTCTTTGTGATCCTTTTCATAGATAGATACTATTTAGATCTGCTATCAGTAAGAACTTCATTGATTTTTCTTTGCTTCGAGCTTGGCTATGTAAAACATACCGACCATTTAAGAATCGGAAAAATGAAATTGTTTTCTAGCGGAGTTGAAAGTTCGGCATTTCAATACGATACAAAGCGGCATACAAATAGACTTTCTATATAATATTTATTCAGATTTTAGCAACTTTTTAGAATATCAGATTATTCCATGAAAAGCATAAGTTCATCGGAAAATAAACTAGAAATAATGTTCCTCATGGCGTTCCACTCTTTTTCAGAAAATCACAATTCTCACTGAGATGGAAGCAAAAAAAAGTTAAAAGCAAACGTATATGTATCACCAGCATCGAATTATGAAATAAATGACATAATTACACTTTAGAACCCTACAAAAAGAATGTTCCAGTTTTTCAACCCGAGATATTCTCGAGGAAAATAAGAAGAAGAATACCTCGCCTTTCAGCTACCTAGCGGTATAGGGTGCTGTTCGAGAACTATTTCAAAAGCTCGATAGTTTTTCTACATCTATTACTAAAGAGAGTTGTGGATAGAACGCTAATGTGACACAGAGTTCTTCCGCTTAGGCACTCAAGCTCACCGTACATACTGACTAACTCCAAGGGCTTTTAGTGTAAACCCCTCTGCAGAATAGAAGCCCACTGGGCTTCTAATTTGTTTTGAAAATTATAAGTTTGAAGGTGGGCTTCAATTACGATCAACTTTTTTTCATTTTTTTGACCCTTGATGAGTAACAATTGTTGTTCTTTTTTTAACCATTCCCGAATCTGTTTTCGATCACAATGCTGTTGTCGACTAACTTCAGAAATATTTTTGCATTTTTTAAATGCATTGATAACATTTAGTTTTTCTTGAACAGTCCAAGATCGACGTTTTGAAGAAGAATTTTCGATGAATTTGTCGTTGCTGTAATGAGATTTTGTTGGTTGAATCAGATTAGTTGCTGTATCACTCATGGAAGATATTGGAATGTCAATTTCAGCTTGTTTTTGATCATCATCTTCTTCATTGTCTTGTAATTCGTTGGTAATATTCGTTAAATCTATTACATTATCAAGCGTTTGAATAACATTTTCAATTACTTCGTCGTCTGAACTAATTGAAGAGTCAGACTCGATATCAATTTCTTGAGTTAAAGAATGTAATGGTAATAAGTGAGTTTCTTCCATTCCAAATAAGTTTTTATTCACAACTTGAATGAAAATGAATTACTGTTACGAATCGATAGAGAATTAATGTTGCAATAAAAGTATTAAAATGTATATATATGATTGTTTTTATATCGAAAATTAGAACACAATAAAAAGAATTATTTTTTCTATACAAAATTGTCGACGGTCACAATTGACGAACGAAGTTCAATAGTCAAAGAAGAAGATATACAAAACGAAAGAAATAGATTGACGACATGAGCATTTAATTTAAAAAAATTGAAAATTATCAATAGAATATTTGTCTTCTTGATTTCTCTATATATACACATTTCAAGTGGGCTTCTATTACGTCCGAAAAACTATAACTTTGGGACTGGGCTTCTATTCCAGATGGGCTTCTATTATAGGGTGGGCTTCTATTCTGCAGAGGGGTTTATATCAACCACGTAGTCAGTTTGTTATCGGAAGGGTGATCCGAGACAAAACAGCCGTTAATGACTTGTTTCAGGTCATTTCATGAGTGATGGAGCAGAGATTTGAACACCGTACCTTGTGGGTAGGTATCAAAAATCTTAACCGTGCAGCCATACTGACTCTCTGAGGAAAATAAATATATGCATAATTATGAATAAAAACAGCGCGAAAGTATTTTGTATAAGATCGATTAAGGATCAATTCAAGATTTATTTTGCTGCCGATCGATCGTTGTTAGACGATATATTTCGCTACGATCTTTTGCAAACATTATGAAGTTGTTCACTCCAATAAGAGGTTCTCATATCCAAAACACTCATTGCTTCACAGCAATAGAAATGCTTTCATCTGAAATACTATTGATTGTTCTCTTTTAAATGACATACTCTACTTTCTTCACATAATGGTTTGAACTTTCTCCATCTGTAGAAAACTACTGGCTGGTCTTGCGATTATCGATTAAATCACTTTCAACACAAGAGTAATTTAAGATATTTAAACGATACCAGCAGTAACACAAGTTAAAACATATAGACGATGAAATTGACGAAAATAAAGTTTACTTTAAATAGTCTTTTCTAATCAGGCACATCAGAATAAACCAGAATTTCATCACAGTTTAAGATGAGTTGTTTGATTGAATACTCATACACGGTTATTTTTAATCTAACCTCATCTGTATGCACATCTTGTCAATGGCGATCTAATCGGGAAATGAAGGTAGGTGCTATTCTTCAATTCTATCGTACCCACATCAACATATCTAATGCGCAAGTGACTAATGCTAAAAAAGAGAGGAATGAAGAAAAAATTCTCCTGTACTCAAACCTGACCTGTCGCTTGTGCTGTAGTAGTTATGACTGTGATAAAGGTGTCGTTTGTTATTTCTATAACTGATGAAGTTGTGTCCATCGTCGTTTCTGTGACTGTCGAATTTGAGTCTGTTGCCATTTCTGTAGTTGTCGAATTTGAGTCTGTTATCATTTCTGTAGTTGTCGAATTTGAGTCTGTTGTCATTTTTGTAGCTGTCGAATTTGAGTCTGTTGTCATTTCTGTAGTTGTCGAATTTGAGTCTGTTGTCATTTTTGTAGTTGTCGAATTTGAGTCTGTTGTCATTTCTGTAGTTGTCGAATTTGAGTCTGTTGTCATTTCTGTAGTTGTCGAATTTGAGTCTATTGTCATTTCTGCAGTTGTCGAATTTGAGTCTGTTATCATTTCTGTAGTTGTCGAATTTGAGTCTGTTGTCATTTCTGTGACTGATGAAGGGACACCAGTTGTTGTGACAGTGATTGAAGTGACACTCGTAATTGCTTCTGTAGCTGTCAAATTTGAATCTGGCGTCATCTCTGTAGCTGTTGAATTTGAGTCAATCGTCATTTTTGTGGCTGTCGAAATGTCAATTATCGTTGAAAGTACAGTTGGTGATTCAGCGGGTAAGGGAGTAGTCGAAGATTGTGGTTTACGCCGAGTTAATAGAACAGTTGGGACCGTCACGGCAGTTACCACAACCGCAATCACAAATAGAGCAAGAAGAGTTTTGGCCAGGTGACCTAGTCGTCTATATTGACAATTATCTATGACAACAGTTTTCTTTAATTTCATTATACGAACTTGCCGCTGTTTATTTTCACTTGGGAAGTTTCCTCAATTTCGAATAACTCGCGTTTTGGCATCGATGCTGGTACACTAATGGTCTTGAAATCTAATTGATCAGCTAGTCTATTAACCAAGAATGTTAAATAATTAAGCAATTGATAAGTCAATGAATATCAAATGCAGAAAAAATGTCGATGAAATAACAAGTAATGTATTATACTTTCAAAATATATTGTTATCTTTTGCAACTCACGCGTCCTACAACTTGGTGAGATAAAGAGCTCCCTTCTTTTCTAGTCAACAAGAATGAAGGCTTCTGGTTGAAGACATTTTGGCTAATACTGTCAGGTGTGGGTGTAGACGTGAATGTGAGTAAAGAAATGAACTAAATCAATACCAACAACCGCATCCACTCCACACCCTCACTTTACTCGAAAAAAGTTTTCTTTTTCTTCAAAACTAGTACAAATAATATAGGTGTATGCATCACACTTCCATTGTTTCTTACATATGAGTTTATGGTTGTATAATTTCCGATCCATCGTTTGACATTCTTTTGAACAATAACGCGCTCGATTACATCTGCTACAAGCATGTAATGTATTTGGTTCACCACAACATTGACACATATTCACCAGTCGTTCAGATTTGTTCTCCATTATAATTGATGAAAAGTCATCAATACGAATTAAACGTTTCATATCATTCGCACCTAATCGTAAGTAGGGATTTATAATATTCATTTTACTGCCAATTGTGAATACTTTACTGGTTACGTATTCGCCTTGTCCTTCAAAAAAACCATAAATGCACGTCCGTCCACAATCAAGATGTTTATATTGAATTACAAGATGAATGGATGGTATCCACGAATATGCTTCTTCGATAATTGTGACAGAGAGAACAATCGTGATAAACGTGATCATTTGTTGGATCCATTTCTTTCAAGGAAATTGTTTTCAAACCAATTAATGATTTAGCCGATCGCTGGTTAGTTCGTGGTTTATTACTATACGCTATAAGACTACAACCTGAATTGTTATTCTCGTCCAATACTCTGGCTTCTCAATCACGATGTTGTTTAATGACTTCAATTCGATGTGGATCAATAAGACGTGATTTAGGATTGAGATCATCAAGAGGAGGTGCTACTCCTGTATTGAATAGACGCTGAACTTCAAAGAATGATTTGAAGAGTGTTTTAGTGTTCGACTCATAAGGTAGAAAACATGATAATTGCGATTTCAGCCTCTTCGCCTTGTTCATATATTTTTTTGACAAATTCTTGGTTAGCATGTTTGTGGAGTATAAAATAACAACTAGCCATTGAATAATATGACTCTGAAGCTTTCCGATGATCCTTCGAGCGGCAGTTAAAAATGCTTGATATGTTTCGATTGCTTCGTTATTATATTTACCCAATAGACGCAATGCAACAGCTTTATCATACAATAGGTGGTAATTATTTGGATCTATTTCTATACCCATATTTGCATTTTACAGAGCCACATCATACCGCTGTAACCAACCGTTCACTGCTGCACTCAATTCAAAAAAATAGACTGACTTCAGATACTTTTGTTTACATAATCGAGGAACCGATCAATTAATTCATGTGAAACCATATGTAGCATAGCGTAATACGTTCGAGTGTCTACATCAAGCTGTTAAACACTATTCTCTGATTCGTTTTTACAACGCTGAACTGCTCGATCAACGGGTGTGGGTGGGTGTGGGTGTGGGTTTGGGTTTGGGTTTGGCTGTGGGTGTGGGTGTGAGCATGGGTTGGGGTGGCGGTGGGCGTGGCGGTGGGCGTGGGGGCGGGGGTTTGGATGGGTGGGTGCGGATGTGGATCTGGGTCTGGGTATTTCTTTTCTCTTCACCCACATCCACACCCACACCCACACCCACATCCACATCCACACCCACACCCACACCCACTCCCACACCCTCACCCACACCCTAGCTGCTATTGATAATCATAGGAAGATTGTTTTATTCTATCTATTTTGGTAGACATTTTTTCATCATCGCATTACTTAATTATCAAGAAATGCGATGAGGAAGTAGTTCATATATGATAACGAGACGTTATGGATATACGGTATGCGATCGTATATTAACACTGCCTGTCACGTCTGTGTGTGTGTGGGGGGGGGGGGGGGGGGGGGGGCGAGAGGTTGGAATTTCTACTCCTATATTTCAACACTCCTTTGAGATCATTTTTCACAAAAACTCAAATACGTATAATTTTGAGGCCCCTCCCCCTAACCTCACAAAGAAACTATTTTATTTGTCATTCAATTTCAACCAAAATTCAAAGAGTGTTAGTCTTGGCTAGAATAGCTAATGGTTAAGATATCTTCCCGAATCTGCAAGACACTAACGAGTTATAGCCAATTCATTGGTTAAAAATACCCTTTACGTGGGCAAGGTTTTCAAAGGAACGCTACGAGCTATGGATATCGGGGCGGTTTTAAATTGTAGAGTATCCTTAGGGCTAAGTAGTGACAAAGCGCGATTTTTTAATTTTCCTTTTTTTGATTTTTAAAAAAACTTTCGAAAAATTCTCAAATTCGCGCCCAAAAGAATCGGTAATAAAAATCAAAGATCTAAGTTTTGTATTTCAGCAAAAGAGAAATTCAAAAATCAGGCTCTATTACGACCTAGCCCTCCCTGTCTGCTATATAACAAAAAAATTACCATTATTATATTGAGTCGTTATCAAGAAAGATTTACCCGCGTAAACGGTATACTCGAAAAAACGAATTTTGAGAAAAACGGAAAATAACTTTTTAAAAACCTTATTTTCTCCATATGGAGGTTCAGAAAAACCTATGTAATATCCTTAAATCTCATCATAAAATCAATCAACTATAGTGCATTCGAGAATAGACACTTTGCTTTATCTAACGAGTTATAAATCACAAAATCGATAAATTTGACCAAAATTGACTTTTCTGAGGAGGCCCCTTAGAAAGTATTGGCGATATGTTTTCTTATTTGTTTAGCTCAGCGAGTTTTATATTACTCTTCAAAATCCCTATAAATGTATTTTCAACTTTTCTCATCCAAAGTATAGATAAGTCCCTAATATTTTGGTATAAAAAATGATCTGCACATCGGCTTTTACAAACCTCAAAAGTTTGAAGCTGTTTGAAGAAAACGATATATAAATTCGTACGTTTTCTACCGATCTATCCTTTATGATTTGTAAGCATCCGAAGTGGAGACTGCATTTTCTCTGATTAACGGTTTTGTTCCGTACACAGAGAATGAGTTCACTCTTTGTCTTACTAAATAGAAAACAGGATATCATTTAAATGTAGATTACCAAAGATATCGTTTTATCCGAAAAAAACTAAAATCAAGTATGAACGACTGTTTTGGATACAAATGAGCGGAAAAAGGCTTGTGTTAACTTAATTTTTTAAAAGCGAAAAATCAAAGATAACCGAACAAAATTGCATTTGTTTGGCTTTTGACTTGTTCTCAAGCTTTGTTTGTCAATCGAATAGCATACTTGCATAGAGTATGGAAAGTTTCATCATTATCACAGACACGTTTGAGTTCAAAAGTATCTACTGCATTAGTAGTGCTGACAACAGCAACTCTCACACTTATTATTGTGCATTGAAAAATAGTCTTAATATTCGTTGTTTCTTACTAAGCAAATATTAAGATTTATTCTGTAAGAACTTCAGAAGTCTCCTCAGCAGAATTCACGCTTGAGATCCTCACCCTCGATATGATTTAGACAACTTTCATAGAACTATGCTCAAAAAATCAGTATTAATGAGCATCAAGCATTCAGCAGATTGTATTTTGAGTTTCAATCAAAAGACAGATTTAATCATTTATTTTCGTCGAGGGAAATATTAACCGAAAAGGTTCATTCCTAATTTTGAGTCTTCATAGCTATATCAAAATGGCCGAAAAGGGTGTGGATGGGGGTGTGTAATGCTTACTCTCATCCACACTCACGCACTCACATCCCACTCCCACCCACACCTACACCCTACTTGTATTCTGTGCTTGAAATTGTAAACGCAGATCCTGATCAGTGTTTCATTATCACACAAATAACAGGAAATGCGTCGCCGAAATCATACATCTCCATTTCTTTTTATTAAATATTTTCTTTAGCAAAACAAATTTCAATTAGATTTTACGAATTAGTCGACTGCAGAAAAGCAACAGTCAGGATCAGCACAGCGATTGGCCTTTTCGTTACCAAATAGATTGGTCTGTTTACATTTCATTTACACACCGATACCCTCCTCGACTCAATGCAGAAGAGAATGATATTTCACATTTCCACTGTAAATCGCCGAGGCATACATCTAGAACAAAAACTGACTTGTTCCGGACGAAAGAACAACAATAATTGCTTAATTTGTTCAATAGTTTAGGGCGGTGCTGCTAATAGATCACAATATTCGTCTCAAATTGAGACGTAAAATATATTTTCAACTTTTACACGCAAATGTGTCTTGAATTTCACGCAAACGTTCACAATCAGACGAGGGGAAAAACAAAAATTTATTGAACATGTTAGAGATAAAACTCAGCCAACATGATTGCTATGAAACATTTTTGCTGCTAATGTAGCAGTGTAGCACATCTCTAATTTGTCTCGCAAATTGCTGAGGCACATGAACTGAAGACTGATTGTTTTTTCCAGGATCCGGGAATAACAATAATAGCTTTTTACGCATCAGAGAATAAAAAGACTTGCTTCAATTATTCAAGAATTTGTGGCAGTGTTGCTATTATATCACAATATTCATCTCAAATGGAGAAGCAAAATATATTTTCATCTTTTACACACGAATGCGTCTTGAATTTCACGCAACCGCTCACAATCAGAAGAGGGGAAGAAAAGAAAATTAATTGAACATGTTACAGATAAAAATCTGTCAACACAGTTACTATGAAACATTTTTGCTGGCTGTATAGCAGTGTAGCACATCTCTGATTTGTCTCGCAAATTCCTCAGGTATATGAACTGAAGAATAATTGCTTTTTTAAAGGACCAGGGAATAATAATAGTTGCTTCAGTTAGTGAATTATTTCGAGCAGTGCTGCTAATAAGGCACAATATATGTGAAACGTTTATAGCTGAATTATATCTCCTTTTTGCTCGGAAATATCTTTCAAATGTGAGGCAAGCGGTGAAAATCAGAAGACTGCAAAAAGAGAAAAAAAATTGCAAAATTTCGAAATCAATTTGTAGAACTATGATTGTCGTGAACCCATTTCCTGGCAATATATAAGTGAATCATAAGCCTGTTTCCTGTCTCAGGTTGCTCAGCCGTATAACCTGAACAATAACGGCTTATATTTCATTGAGGAATAAAATAATTTAAATGAGCAATAATGAAATTTAGCAATAATTATATAGAATGAGCAATAGTTATACTGCATGAATAATAATTATACTGAAAGCGCAATAATTTATTTAAATTAAATGTAAATTTTATCTAAGGTAAATTTTATATAAAAAGAGTGTTATAGTGTGACTCGCTGATATATCTTTTTTTCTTTTCTTCTCTTCTACGATGTCGTACAGATAACAAGTACAAGCCATATGTGGCAGAGTTGATTTTAAAATATTTCAAAATTAACTAATTCCCTTTTAAAGTCAACTAGCTGCCTTTGAAAAGGGACCTAATTTTACAATCAACTCCGATAAATACATATATCTTTTGTTTTTTCTCTCTTTTTTTCTTTCTCTCAATTA